GCGAATAGAACGGCGCGGGGTCGAGCACCGCGATGCCGTTCCAGCAGGATTGCACCTGGATGGGCAGGTGCCGCTGGAAGCGGTCCTGCGACGCGCCGTGGTGGAAGATCGCCTCGAAGGGAGCGTTCTCGAGCGCGGTTCCGTTGATGTCGCGCGCGACCCAGTTGTCGTAGAATACGGGATGGCCCTAGTGGGTAAGACATACAGTCAGCACACAGTGCTCACGGCCAGCAGACAGGGAGGGGGACGCACGAGCTCCTCGTGGTACATGTAGTCCGCGGCGCAGGTGATGCCCGCGTTGTTGCGGCGGCTCTGCCAGATGAGCTCGAGGAGGTCGTCCAGGCAGGGGAGGACGTCATTCATGAAGATGATGCTGTCGAAGTACTCGTTCTCCGCGTCGCGCAGCTCGTGCAGCGGCACGAACGCGGCGTTGCGCACCTCCGCGAGGTACTCGATGCGGTGGTTGAACGCGCCGCGCGTGCGCATTGACGTGCGGATCGTCACGCGCAGGCCGACCGAGCGGCAGAGCGAGTCGAAGACGCGCAGGAGCGCCTTCGTCTGGTCCGTCGAGCCGTTCTCGTAGATCGAGACGTACACGTTGTGGTAGCCGAGGATGGCCGCGACGCGGAAGAGCGTCGCGAAGAGGTCCGGGATGATGTCGAACGAGTTGTAGAGATTGATGGCAAAGAAGTACTTGTGGTCGTCGGGCTTGAGCCCGCGGTGCGTTGGCGGGAGGTAATCACCTTCTGCGCCTGAGCCGAGGCCAAGCCCCAGGGTATCAAGCCAGGATGAGCGGGCCGGGGATTCGTGCCCTATGAGCGAAGAGTATCGCTCTTCTGCCTGCTCCTTATACATTGGCTGTGCATTGCGTGTGCATTCCCTTGTGTAGTGGGGGGAAAGCGAAGTGAGTAGTTCAAGCACGCGGAAGCGTTGCTCGAGTGTCGGGAGGGTGATGGGCTGGCGAGCGCGAGTTGGGTGGTAGGGGGAAGGATTGTGACTTCCCCGCCATGGTGTCGGTGTGCGCTGAATGTCGTAAGTAACAAGCAAAGAGAGAGAGGCACTCGAACGACTTGTGAGGAGACCAGTGTGCGCCCCAAGCGTGTTATCACGGTACCACCCTCCGCCGTGCAGCATCACAGGTGACGACGCTCTGCTCTGCTCACAAGGGCCCAGTACGTAGGTTCAATTACTCACCTCTGATGTGAACACTCTCGCCACCATAAGGCCCACAAATATGCCAACGGATAGCGATACCCATGTGGGTAGGCGCTTTAAGGGGTTGTTACTCTTCGGCTGCATTTTGGTGGTGTAGCTCCCGTCTCGCTTATGAAAGCACCCCTAAAATTCGGGTTGCAATACAGAGTGCCGTGCAGGAGGACGGAGAGATAGGACACGTCAAGACGATGGTAGTCCCAGAGTGCCGCCGAGAGGTCGCCAGGGCCCAGGAGCGCGCGGTTGCGGTGGTCTGGATGGAATCACTGCCCAATAACGCGCCGTCAGATCATACGCTACTTTTCGTATAAGGGGGGCAACGAGCGACGTGGGATTACGGGGGCAAGCGAGGAGAGGTGATGGGCGGAGGAAAGCAGGAGCCAAGCGTGTGCAGCCGCCGAGGAGGCACGGTTGTGGCTGATGGCATGTCGGTGTTCGCTGGCCTTGCCATCGGACCCCGACTCCTTGCCTCCCGACCACCACCTCGCCTCCCTCCCTTTCCCTGTCCCCAAGCTTCTCGCTCTGGCAGCGTCGGCGCGCGCACATGCAGCGGCGCTCCGGTAAGGCTCACGCTCACATCTCGCCCCCTGCGCGCATGGGCTCCGACGAAAAAGCACCTTCACGCCTCAACCAGAAAAGCCTCGGCGTCACGAATCGAATATGGCTCATCCTCGCGCTCTTTGTCTTCCTCATCCTGCTCACGCGGTCCATCTTGCCTGGCGAGACTTCGACTGCACGACACCGACTGCTTAGCGGAGACTTGCGACCCAAGAACTACCTCAATATCTCTGAGACGGGAGAGTCGCCGTTTGCGTTCTGTCCAGCACTCGGGCCGGGAGACGAGGTTGCATCGAAATACGATGTGGTTGCGCTCTCGAAAACCAGGTTCCATCTTGGGAGCGGCGCACGGGTACAACGTGTCATTAACAAGGCGCTCTCGGGCCTTCCGGTGACTATCAGCGTGGTTGGTGGATCTGGTGAGTGTCCTCGTTCACAGTTGCCATGGCTCGCTGCTCCGCGATGGTGCCGCCTCCGGCACGATTCCGAACACGACAAGTCCTTTTGATCGTACTCCTCAGTGGACCTAGCCCGTGTGGCTGTCTGTCGGAGGGCTTAAGCGGAGTACACCAGACTGGCCGTAGTATACCATGCCCACAGCCATCTGGGTTTCCTCCGTTCTGCTAAATTGACGTCATGGTCTGACCGCTTGCCTGTCCTCAGTGTCTGCCTGCCACGGCGCCGGGGACGACCCATTATCCCCGCGATGCTATCCGTCAAGATTCTTCGCCTGGTGGAATACAGTCTTCCCTCACCCCGCTTCTGAGCTCACAAATGGCGCGATGCGGCGCACCAACTCCGCTTACTTCGGGTTCTGCAATGGCCACCATATCCCCGACGTCACAGACCTCGTCATCGTCGAGTTAGACGCAGCGGATGCAAAGTGAGTGGCCTTGCTACCTGCGCGGGGCCTGAACGGATCATTGATCACCCCTCCAGTGACCAAGTAGCAATGGACGAATTTGAGCTATTGATCCGCTCCATCCTCATCAGGCCGGATCAACCAGCTGTCCTGATCCTCGGACATTTCAGCCCTCAGGTAGTACTGACCAGTGGGTTCGGTAGCTCTGACCATTGGCACACGCTAGTCGCGCAGTTTTATGATGTACCACATATCAGGTTTGTCTATTTGCTGGTCGTTCATAGCGCTTCTGACACGTAGCTTGTCAGTGTCAAGCCGCTGCTTTACCCCAACTACATGACAAACCCGTCTTCGGTAGATCAGTACTACGCCGATCCGATTCTCTCCAGCCCTGCAGGCCACGAAGTGATCGCCGACACGCTCATCTCCTATTTCCAGTCGCAAATTTGCGCTGCATGGGGTGCGATCACAGGGTCGTCGCACGAAATGCTGCCCGCACTCGCCACGCCCATCTTCGCGGACAGCAACGCGAAGCAACCTACGGACGCGCGCGGGCTCTTCGGCGGCGTCGCGCAGCGTAAGGGTGCTGCAGGTGCCGTACCTGAGGACAGCGACGGGCGCGCCCAGGCGGCCCCGAACCCGCTAGCAAACCGTCTCGCGGAGGTCGCGGTGAAGGCGCCCTCACTACACGCAAACCTGCGCGTGCCACCGATGCGTGTTAAGACGCGGCCGTCGGACCTCGTCGCGCACCCGTTCCGCGAGGTCGCCCCGTACTGTGTCTCCGCGAACGACCTCATCAACCCGCTCCCCGAGGCGCTCTTCGCGGGCTCCGGCTGGGCCGCGTTCCACCCGCGTGCCGGCTCCGCGGATCTCTCGTCGCACGCGCACTACTTCTACACTACCCTCCCCACGAGCAAGCTTCGCGTGAGTATCCAGGTCGCAGCGGGCGACGTCGCCGTGTATTACATCAAGGAGCCGACAAGCGCTGTCCGCCTCGGCAGCGCGGTGGAGTGCTGGGTCGACGACAACTACGGCGGGGCGGTCGTAATAGAGAACGCGGCTCAGGTCGGGGAGCCAACGCCAGCGTGAGTGACGTTTCGGTCCTGCTGTCAGATCCCGGTAGTTGACTTCTTGAACAGACTGGAGATTATCGACCACTATGTCGAGAGTGGACCGCATTTCGTTGAATGCCAACTCATGGGCGAGGAAGACGACCGCAATATCCCACCGTTTAGAATTATTGGGATATTCGCTACGTAACGCAATTACTTTGTGGGTCTCATCGGGCTTGCCTGTGTTGCTTGTGGGTCTAGGGTCTTGGACACAGCTGTATAAAAGATAGAACTATCCATAATGATGCGATGACACGCTCGTTTCTGCCCCTGCTGCTTGTCAACCTTTCCAGAGGCTACCGAACGTATGAGTCCATGTTACCAATGCAGGGGCCAGAGTTTTCTGGAGAAAAAGGCAAAGCAGTCGATTGGTACAACTTCCCCGGCCGGGTAGTGCGTAGCGCACTGCGCATCTCTTGTGAACCTGGCGATGTGCTGATCTGTCTGTGCTTGTGTGTAGGCTGCACTAAATCCCCCTGTCGTAATCATGAGATTTGAAACAGCCGTCAGTCTTGTCGGGCGCGCCGCTCGCCGCGCTGCAGGCCGTCAACTCGACCTCCCTCGATGCACCCAGGCGTCCCGTCGACTTCGGATGGTGACCGCTACCTGCGGCGCATCGCCCGGGCTGGGAAGCAGTGGACTCGGAAGCGTAGTGTCGGGCGGCGGTCGACATGGAAGGTACGTCCCTCGTTCTTTACTTGCACTCCCTGTGCATCTCGTAGTGACGCGCGCCGTTCGTCAGCGTATGATGTGTATAGACTGTGGTCAGAGTATGCGAGACTAGTACTGCTGGCGAATGATCAGAAAACAATGGACTTTGTGCTAGAGAGTAGATCTAGTAGTATGTGTTCACTGCACGGTTAATTATCGATATCATGAGTAGATATACTGGTGGTAGTGGTGTGCACCAAAATCATCGGCTAAGGGAGAAGCAGGGCAAGGTCCCGCTGCCACCACAGGCAGCTCTACGAAAGTACTTCGTTCAATGCAGTGCCACTGGCAGTGCTCTCGACATCACTGCCAGACTGCAATACGGCATGGTGCGGCCCGTTACGCCGGTACAGTGCAGCGTGGACTTCTCTGCATACTCGGCCACTGAAGAACGCACTGCCCATGAATGGCTGTCTTTTGTACGTACTACGTCGTAAATAGGCCGAGTGTTCTACCCTGTACAGTCCATGATACAAAAAGTTAGAAGGCGGACAGACTCGAAAGCAGGTCAATGCATCCAAAAGCATTGATCGGAATCACTGTCATGGACATTCAGGGGATTGAACCCTGGACCTCACGCAGGCATTATCAAATGCGAAGCGTGCGCGCTACCACTGTGCCAAATGCCCGCAGAACCTTGGTTGCTATGACTAGCACTATCCTAAATATGTACTTTACCTGGCACAAGATGTCCGAGCCACAGTGAAGTCATTTATCAACAGCTGTACCACTGCGCAGACGCTGCAGAGCTCACTAAATAGTGCGGCTTACAGAGCCGGTATGTGGTGATTGAGCTTGAATGATAGAACACTCGAGCCCTCCTCAGCATCCTCGTCGGAAATTTAACCTAGAGGTCGGAACTTGAAGAACCTGGCCCTGGTGATGTTGACTTACTACTAGTACGTGGCACAGCGGGGCAGATGTCGCACACGGATTGTACACCCTGCAACGTGTTCGTCCATATCAGCGCTTATGCGCATGCGTATGAGTGTTCCCTGGGGTTTCAATGAGCCCCTGGCCATGTGTATACGGAACTCCGCGGGTAGTACTCACCCTGGAGACGAAGGCACCGTCATGTGGAGGAAGACGATAGTGCGGGGACTCAGCGTGGACGTTCCGACCGCGGAAGCCGGCACTGTGGGGCGGCTCCCAGAGAGCCTCACGGTGTCTTCAGGAATACGGAGTTTTATCGGTCTTTTAGCTGAGGAACGTGAATATGAATGAGCTCTTGAGCTATCCAAGGGCCAAAGCCACGACCGCACGGCGTCGTCGCAAGGCGAGTGGAGCTCCCGACACTGCTCGGTTCCACCATACGGTGACCAAGGCCTCGGAGGCCGACCTTGGTAGTCGGTGGTGCCATACGCGCCAGTGTCTGCGGATGAACGACTCGGAGAATAGGGAACGGCTCTCCGTCATGAACCATCGAAAAGAGAAGGCGAGCCTGCCGTAGAGGTCGTGGTCTGCAGGGCTTGTGGGCTCCAGTGTGTTGCGCCTTAGGTATGAATGAACGAAGCTGCGATGCTGGCAGAGGAGGAATAGTTTGACAGTGCTTCTGCGCCACCGACGTCACTGAGTGAAAAGTAAGTCGTGCGGGACAGCCGGGTCCGGAGTGTATATCGGTGCTAATTTCATGCTTCAGTGATCTAGTGACGCATGAAACTGAATTGTCGTTAATGGCTCACCTTGTTGACCAACCGCAAACTCACCGCACGTACGGTTGTCACGTCGGAGACCGGAGAGGCGGCGAAGACTAAGTTTGGTGGGTGTGTTCGGAGCCGCACTCACCAAACACATGGTGCATACTTAGCAGTAGAAGCGTCGTTGTCGCCGCTCAAGCTGAGCAACCACCACACTAGACTCCGAGCCTGAGTACGCCAGCTCTGAAGTGTGGTGGTGCTCCGGGGTTTCATGGTATTCAACGTATCAAATTACGGACTAGAACCACCACCACCCCGGTGTGTTCGGCGGCTGGCCTCTCCGCGGCCCAAGGGACAAGTACCTGCAGTTGCAGGGAAACTAACAGCCGTCCACGTCTCGTTGAATCGAGGGGGAATGGTGTCAGTGCGACACCAGTCGAGAATGCCCACTCGACGAGTGGCACGCAGTGCGCGGCCACCACCGCAGAGAGCGGTGAGGGAAACATCCCTGAGGGTAGCACCCCGCGCAGCCCGCGTACAAATGTACGGAAAGTGTAGATACGTATACTACACAAACGCAATGCGTCGTCGCCAATGCTCTCGTCCTGACTGTCGCTCAGGCTACCCGACACGTCGAGTAGGATCGCCACAACGCCACTCAGACGTCGACTAATTGTTGACAAAGACGCTGGCGATCCATGGTCCCCATCATATCCAGATGACGAACGAGACCAATGACCCGCTGAAGACAGATGGAAAGACAGGGCGCAGGCAGCAACGACGACGACGACGATCGTAGCGACCCGTCGCCACCGCCGCTGCCGCCAGCCAGCGCTAAACCCCGAGCCACTCACCGCCACCACGCGAACAAAGCGTGGCGTCCAAGCAACAATGGCGAGGCCACGACTCTAGCACAAAGAGACAACAGACAATGCGAAACGCCACGCGCGTGCCCCTGTGGCCACCCTCGGCCCAGCTCAAAAGGCAGGCGGACAAGAGATCTCCTCTCCTTCACCTCCCCACCTTCTGCCACTCGCACTGCAGGCTTCCTCCTGGTAAGCATAACCACCCCTTGCTATGTCAACTGTCTCGAAAGACCAGACTGTGCCCCCAAGCACGACACCAACCCAGAAAGCGACCACGTCGAACGATCCGGCAACGGTGCCTGGCCCTACCACGACCCGGAAGGAACCCACACCAACACAAACCACACCGGACCACCGCGCCAAACGCTCGCGCCTTGTGCACGGAGAGAGGATAGATCAGGCGGATAAAGAACCACCTCGTGAGCACCCCTTTAACGTTGAGGAGCAAGATTCGGTGATGAACCCGCGCGAAACGCGAGGCCTACCCAAGCGCGCCACCATGGTGCCTCTGGAGAAGAACGCGTACCCGTGGCCTGACCCCCTGGCCTTGCCGGACAACACCATCGGCGATCCCCACAGCCGTCTCACCAGGGACGAGGAACCCGCCCCGGCTATCCCTAAGTCCCGCGTGGCCTTCACCGACGCGATCTTTCAACGCCTCCACATCCCCCTAGACACGCTGGTGGCCGGTCTCCGCGAACAACAAGCCGTCGAGGTAAAGAATGCTCCGGAGAACTTCCTAGCGCTAATCCCCTACGGAGCCGGGCACGCCCTCTACAACGACCATCCCAAGCTGGGCCGTGAGGTCCTCGCTTTCCTCAAAACCCTCCGCTTTGCGGACACCGAGGCTAGGGACACGGCCGACGAAGCTTTACAGGCAATCATCGAGGCTGGTACCCCGACCCAAGTCGAAGCCGCCCTGCGCGCACAAGATGATAGAAACCCCGACACGGAAGGGGTCCAGATCATCATGCCCACGAGTAGCCGCAAGGGCGGCACGCGCGACAGGTATGCCCTCCCATGGGCGATGTTCCTCCGCGGCGGGTCGGAGCGCCTCTGGACGTACCTGCTGTACCAGCAGACTTTTGCGGTCAGGAAGGACTTAGCCTTCAGCGTCCTGAAGATCGAGGCCGAAGCGACCTCTTGGGTCCTCTGCAACTTCAAAGGGGAAGCAGTGGACCGCGGGAACGAGAACGCCATCATGTCGACGATCAAACGGACGCTGTGGAAGGACGATGCCTTCCGGCAGCACGTCACCAGAGTCCTCACCAAGCAAGGCGTCCCAGGCGACATCAACGACCATGCAGTCCACGCGACGCGCACCTTCACCCTGACGTTCTTCGACAATACCGACGCTAAAGGACAGCCGGCCACCGTCGTGCAGCTGAGAGGGCAGCCGATAGCCACAACCGAAGAAGAGCTGGGGGAATACTTGTCGATCATACGGCTGACCCAGTTCTGGGTCAACATGGTCCTTCTCCTCCGAGCGGGAAGCGTGACGTGCCAGTTGTGCAAGGCGGTCACTCACCCGGCCTACGACTGCCCTTTCTTCAAGACTGAAGGGTGGTTCGGACCGCAGCACGACGGTGCTGAGAAACACGCTGACCTCGTCAAGAAGACGAAGGCAAAGAACGGCAAGCCAGGTGGCCCGAAGCGCTCTGGCCCGTCGACCGGAGGGAGGCCGCGAAAGTAGATATGCCCCTGTCACATCTGTCTCATCTCTCGAGCAAACACGCTACACCCCTGCGTCTCACATGTATGTATGTTATGACTGCCGATGTAATTCCATCGCTACGCCCTGCGTTCCCAACGAATCCCTTAAGCCAGTACGGCCGTAGACTGGTGCGACAATGAAAAAAGACGCTAAATGGTCTGCTTGGAGAGCACACCGGACAGCGCATCTAGGAGCCCAATTTACTGACGCTGCTACGGCGGTGGACAGGAAAGCTCTCGGAGGAAGCGGCGATTTCGGTCAGCGCCGTGCTGAGGTTACACTCAGCGAACCGACCTCGGAAAAGGGATGGAGCCCAGCTCGCTCCCCCCGGACCGACGAGGATTGACTGAACCCCCCGGCAGCGAAAGCAACTTCGTATGGCCTGGCACGCCATAGGTAGGGCCACTAACAATGCTACTAACCAATTACTACAGACGAACAACAACACAAGACGGTACGAGCAAGACGGTAACGGTGAACATGCAAGCCTGACCCCCCGAGGTACAACAGGCACAGCCGCCGGCCGAACTACCGATGACGGGGCTCAGACTACGGAAGGCGGGACATCCAGAGGGACTCGGCAGGAGCCTGTACGGGCGCCGGGACCTACCGCCCCCAGCCCGTCAGGCGAGGAACGCCACCTCCCTAACCCGTGCTCTCAACCCCCCGCGAGAGAGGCAGGTGTCGCCAGTGCGCGCGACGGAGAGCAATGCGCTTCTCCCCTACAGTCAGGTCCACCGGACCTGATCCCAGGCCCTGCCATGGGAGCGCGAGTTGCGCCAGACCGGACACAAACCGGTGGGACACGCAGTGCCCAGCATGACCAAAGAGGCCCCCCGCCGCCTCGCTTGATGTTACACCACCCCGGTACACAAGCCATGCACCCATACGACGCGCCCCCGAAAGGCACGAAGCACAAACAGAAGCGACAGGCAAAGCCACCCAAAACGCTCCGTGCGGCTGTAACAGTCGCCACACTAAACATCAGGGGCTTCGGCAGCGACAACCTGTACAGTCAGAGCAACAAATGGCTCCATGTTAACCAGCTCATGCGGGATAAAAAGATAGGCGTACTTGTAGTACAGGAAGCTCACATGAATGAGGAACGTCGCTGCAAAGTCGAGAACCTCTTCGCGCAACGCCTCAGAATCATCGCGACAGGTGACCCTGAAAACCCTACTGGAAAGAGTGGCGTGGCAATAGTCCTAAATAAAGAGATAGTAAACATGCAGAATGTCGTCGCAACAACAGTCTATGAAGGACGAGCACTACAAGTCCAACTGCGACTCAAGCATGAGACAACACTGACCATTCTTGGCGTATACGCACCTAACGACCCTGACCTCAATGAATTCCTTTGGGAAGACATACGAGATTTCTACCAGAAACCGGAGAACAGGGACATCCCCAAG